CACAGTAAAAGTGTAGTTTTATTCATTTTTGCGTACAAGTTTGCAATAATAATCGGTGAAAGCGTGCAAATTGAAAACATCGGGCTTGCGATTACAGTTCGAAACCGCGAATCGAAACGCGGACAAAGAGAAATGATTTTGCACGCGAAATGGAGTCGCGTTTTTAATATTGGTAGCTACCTCGCTCGTAAATTCCTGTTACCGGATTTTCGAATTTTCGGGTGTGTTATTGGCCGGAATAAATTAATTAAATTCTTGCAATAAGGGAACATTCATATTTTCCTTATATTCTACTTTCTTTTTGACATTCCTTCGAGTTACGAAATTTATCTTCAAATCATAGACTTAAAAGTACAGCAAAAAGTTTTTTTGAAAAGTCAAAGGCAATGCTATCATCTTTTCAACCTTATTAATCGTTCACGAAGCAAGGTTTTCGTGTTGGTTTTTATTCAAAGAAAATCTTGTATAGAATAGCAAAGGAATTTTTTTAAAAAATCAAAGGCAGTGCTAGCATCTTTACACTCCTTATTAATCGTTGACAAAGCAAGGTTTTCGTGTTGGTTTTTATTCGAAGAAAATCTTGTACAGGATAGCAAAGAAATTTTAAAAAAAAATCAAAGGCAGTGCTACCATCTTTACACACTCCTTATTAATCGTTGACAAAGCAAGGTTTTCGTGTTGGTTTTTATTCAAAGAAAATCTTGTATAGGATAGCAAAGGAATTTTTAAAAAAAATTAAAGGCAATGCTACCATCTTTTCAACCTTATTAATCGTTCACGAAGCAAGGTTTTCGTGTTGGTTTTTATTCAAAGAAAATCTTGTATAGAATAGCAAAGGAATTTTTTTTAAAAATCAAAGGCAATGCTACCATCTTTACACTCCTTATTAATCGTTGACAAAGCAAGGTTTTCGTGTTGGTTTTTATTCGAAGAAAATCTTGTACAGGATAGCAAAGAAATTTTAAAAAAAAATCAAAGGCAGTGCTACCATCTTTACACTCCTTATTAATCGTTGACAAAGCAAGGTTTTCGTGTTGGTTTTTATTCGAAGAAAATCTTGTATAGAATAACAAAGGAATTTTTAAAAAAATCAAAAGCAATGCTAGCATCTTTACACTCCTTATTAATCGTCCACAAAGCAAGGTTTTCGTGTTGGTTTTTATTCAAAGAAAATCTTGTATAGGATAGCAAAGGAATTTTTTAAAAAATCAAATACAAAGCTACCATCTTTACACTCCTTATTAATCGTCCACAAAGCAAGATTTTCGTGTTGGTTTTTATTCGAAGAAAATCTTGTATAGGATAGCAAAGGAATTTTTTAAAAAATCAAATACACTGCTAGCATCTTTACACTCCTTATTAATCGTCCACAAAGTAAGATTCTCGAGCTGATTTTTATTCGAAAAAAATTTTATATTTAACAGCGTAGTGTAGCAAAGAATTTAAAAAAAATTAAAAGCAGTGATAGTTCAACCACCTTTACCTTGAATCTTATTAACAAAACGAGGTGTTGCAGGTTTTCCGCAGAAAACTGCACGCAACACAGTGCCTTTAATCAATTAATAAACGCGTTCGTTTCACAGCTGCGTCTCGCGGTTTCACAGGTGCGTTCGCGAGCGCGCAACTACCACCAGAATCCAGCTGTTTGTCCCGCGCCCGTGCAAACTGTAATTTTCATATTATACCGACGGTCTATTAACGGCCTGTCGATATCGCTAATTAATGGGAGAACGGCTGGCCGTGATTTAGAGCACTCCCTTTTTTGTTTTCGTTACTCCGGCTACACTTTTACATTCGATTTCCGTTTATTGATTCGACACATTTTGCTGTGCTACGTTGAAATTAAAATTACAATTTTATGTATTGTAGGCATTTGGTTTCATATTACTTGCAAGACCCGTTATATGTTTGTTATAATTTCTTGAAGTGTGAATGGGGTGAATGAGGGTGTTGCAAGCGGAGACGAATGATCGTTGGAAATGTATGAATGCCGTTAATTGATTTGTTACCAGTCCTTTGTCATTCTTGAATTGTAACAGACGTGTTTTAAAAGATTCAATAAAATATTTAAATATTTTAAATAAATGTTTAAAGTAGTTGGAAGTGCTATAATATTATAGTTTGTACGAAACTTTGACGTGACCTTAACATTAAAGTACGCTTTAAAAATAATTTAGCGGCGCTAGATAATTAATTACTCTCGAAAGAAGTTCTATTCGAGAAATTACTTGAAAAATTAACTCGGCTAACAGCATCGTAAGCGCCGTTCGTGTAAACAGTCTGAAATGGGAAGTATTACGTTGCTTTTTATTTTAAAAAGGTAATCTAATTTCGCGCCGGAACCGGAACACTTTCGTGCAGGCTAACCGGCCCGAACAGAGAAACGAGCAACTTTCCCGACCGAGTTTTAAACGCGGCGCTAAATCCGATGAACGCGGCTCTTCCGATGGAAATAATTATGGAAGATTCGCGATGAAAATTTCTACTACTTTTTGATATTGAAACTTCCGGATTAACCGTTAGCTTAATTGCTTCCATTCCGAGTCTGTTCGAAATTCCTTCAAGGGTACCAAAAGGGTTTCAAAGTTTGTTGACTCAAAATTTGATTCTTTGGTCTTTCGGTATTTATTCTTAGGGGCTTAGGCAAGTATTTAGGGCCTGGGTATACAGGCTGTCTCATAATTAATGTCCCAGAGGGGCAGCTAATTTTGAATAAGACCTTTTGCAAAAATGGTATAGGTTATGTTAAGAGGCGGACTTTTGTTATTATTGTGGATACATTAAATTCTAACAATTTTGTTAGCTAACCTTCATTCGAGGATTCTATAAAGGTACAAGACTAGAAGAGAGTTTGCAGTGGGTTTTTTATTTGCACCAGGTGTAAAATACATCCCCTAACTCTTTGCACTTCTATGTCCAGTGTGTCTCTACCACATGTCTCTTGGATCTTACAAATAATTCAGATGCATACATTGGTTGAATATATATAGTTTCATTTATTTACTATTTATAATAAATGAAAAATTTGTAACATACTCTGCAAATAATAATAAATGAAAACATTGTCACAGACTCTACATATAATAAATGAAAAAATTGTCATATACTCTTCATATAATAAATGAATAATAAATTGTCACACACTCTTCATATAATAAGGGAAAAATTTGTAATATATTCTGCACATAATAAATTAAAAATGTGTCACATATTCTTCACATAATAAATGAATAATAAATTGTCACACACTCTGCATATAATAAGGGAAAAATTTGTCATATACTCAGCATATAATAAATTAAAAATTTGTCACATACTCTTCATATAATAAATGAATAATAAATTGTTACACACTCTGCATATAATAAGTAAAAAATTTGTCATATATTCTGCACATAATAAATTAAAAATTTGTCACATACTCTTCACATAATAAATGAATAATAAATTGTCACACACTCTGCATGTTATAAATGAAAAATTTGTCAAATACTCTTCATATAATAAATTAAAAATTTCTCATATACTCAGCATATAATAAATAAAAACTTTCTCACATACTCTGCATATAATAAACAAAAAATTTGTCATATACTCTGCACATAATAAATGAAATCTCTCTCACATACTCTGCATATAATAAATGAAATCTCTCTCACACACTCCGCAAACAATAAAAACTTCGCCACATACTGAGCACATAACAACTAAAAAATTTGTCACATGTGCCCCTCGCAATTTTACAGAGAACCCAGATCTACTTCATCTATTCCTTACCGTGAAATGTAATTGTTCCCCATTGTGAAAGGTAATTAATGAGTATAAAAGTAAGGATCACGAAGGACATCGAAGACCGATCCGCGTGGTTTCGGTTTGTCAGCGATGTTGACAGCGCGTAGCGTAGCGGGGTTGTCGTGTTGGTCTCGCGCACTAATCAATATGGAGGGGTAGAAGCACTCGAAGTAGGGGATCCCTCGGAGGGGTCTGGTGGTTTTCCGTTTCGCCTGGATCGAAGCGTGGGTCAGGAAAGCAACCCTTCGATTGCGTGTCCGAAACGTAACGCAAGGGAAGGGATGGAAGGAGGAATAAGGGCAGAAGAGGACGACGCGCAGCGTCGTTTTTGCGACGAG